CACGCATCGATACCACGAGCGGCAGTTTGCAGTTGTAGAGCACGCGACCATAGACTATTTTAATTTTTTTTTATAAAAGAACGCAAAGGGCAGTCCAGATGCGAATAGTACTGGTATTCGTAAATTTAAAGAAGTTGCTCTAAGAAAGATTAGAAATAATGGTAACACCTCCGGACATTTGCGACATTTATAGTAATATATGTAATATATATTATAAAGAGAAAGATTTTTGTTTGTAATGGATTAACTTATAAATTACTTAACCAATTTTAAAAATTCTTTCACATGTAGAAAACTACATTATAAGCTAGTAGCATAAGTTATATATTTTTTTAACCTATCGTAAATTAAAATAATGTAACACACCTTGACTTGAAAATTTACCTATTAATACTAATATAAAATAGTAATTTATTTTCAACCGACTTAAAAAAAGGAGCTTCTCAATTTAGGTGTATATTTTTTTATGTTTTGTTATATTTTGTCAGTCATAAATCGACTTCGAAAATTCTTTTTTTATCTGAAAGAATATACATACATATTGGTCTTATAGAAATTTTAAGAAAATCGATTCAGTAATTTAGTTTTTGGATCAAAACATTTTTTTCTTTTTTTGTGGAAACTATCTTAATTTTTGACACCAAGGCAGATTGCTAGTAACATATAGTATAACTGAAAAAATGCCCCCTTTTCCCGGACAGTCGGCTAAAATGACCAATTAACAACCACATGAACATACATGTGAAACAAGCATTCATTATCACCACTCTACGTGTTATATTTATAATTAATTCTGTATGCACACGGCCGAATCCTGAATTAATGATTTAGTCCATTAAGAATATCGATTGCCTTACAAGAATACATAATAAACTCCTAACTAAGTAACATTCCGAGCGATGTTTGAAATTCATCGTTAACATGCAAAGAGCTATCAAGTGATTACCTACGAAAATAGTTTGGTTTTTTGTAATTGATGGACTAATTGGGATTTGTCCAAACGCCACCACTATTTTCAACTTCAAAAGAGGGGGAAGGGATTGTTAGTAATGCGAACTACCAGTTTCATTGCTAGTAATATGCCCTGACAGCTCGACCGCCACGTGAAACCTGGAAACCATCGTGCTGAATTTCAGGTGTATTTCATCATAATGAGCTAACTGACCTGTCTTTTCGTTCTTACCTATCATCTCTCACTGGTGCCCCGTCAGTGTATACCGTTAGCGCAGGCGGCGTTACCATTCAATTATAATACCTACATTAAAAAAACCGACTTCAAAAAGAAGGAGGTTGTCCCTTATAAATAAGCGAATTTGTTTTTTTTTTATCTGAAAGGATATAATTGCAGTTTGGTCTAATAGAAAATTTATCAAAATCGATTTAGTAGTTTAGTTTTTAAATCAAAGTAACTGGTTTGGCTACAATTGAAATCGGTATTTTTTAAGAAACACAATCTTATTTATTTCGTATAAAATATAACGCGGGAAAATTCAACATTCTGTTTGGTCAAAAAAAAATACATTATTTGTCTATGGTTTGAAATTTTTCGTAGTGTAAACACTGGTAAAGGCTGATATGCCTCTATATATAATTCTGACGAAGTACTAAAGTAACTTCTAAATATCAGCAGAGAAAAATTAAATCGATTAACAAGTATCGTAGTTATATTTTATATCCAGTCCATTACCAGGTGTCCGGTTTCTGCTGGAACACTTCAACTTCAGTGACTCAACGCCTGCACGAACTCGACCCAAAAGAAAAGCGGACTTGTTCTGGTTTTAACTTTATTATAACAAATTAATTTCAGTGCTTAAATTTTACTGCTTACGTTTTTCATGTCAATTGCTTTATCGCCTATGGGTGTTAAAAATTTCTAAAACCATATATGTAATAATTAATTTTGTGTTACTATGGCATGTTACTTATTTTATGCATTTTGTTTTTATGTTTTATTTTTTGTATATGTATTACTTTATCTTTTTCACTGTGACTCTATGTCTATTGTTGTTTGTATGCTGTAATGCAAATAAATTATCTATCTATTTAATTTTCTGTTAATATATCACAAAAAGAACTACCTATCATAAAGCATAGATTTTGTTTTATAAAGAAAAAATTACCTGTACATAAATGGTAGCTAGTAAATTCTCTGTAAATGACAGACTTGTTCTAAACTACCATAAATATGCAGAGAATAAAATATTGAAAGAAATCTTACATAAAAAAAAAAACGAGAAAATTAAAATTGGGAGTATTAGTGGTTTAGATATAAAATATACACTGTCAACTTTGCGATGTTACAACTGCAATTTAAAAAAAATATAACCACAGAAGAAGTAAATAATACTTTTTAAAACTTGTGCATCCTATGTGGCCAGTGACATGCCGGGAGTAGGATATCATAACGGCACCATACATGATCACATGCACTCCTATTTCACACGGACCAGTTGACGCAACGGGATGTTGTGTTCCATACGTAATCACTTGCCTGTTTCATTTATTTCATAGCGGTTCCACGCCAATGACACTTGCAATATGATCATAAAGTGATAAAACTTGTGTCATACATACATTATTAATAACATTCGAGTTTCACTGTTTTTTTTTAAACAACTTAGAATGTCAAACAAGCTGAAGGCCCACCTGATGGAAAGTGGTAACCGTCGCCTATAGACTTGAGCAGTACCATGGACATAACAAAGTGTACTGTTTCGCCCATGATACCCCCCATGCATTGCCATTCCTGGGACTCGGGTGTTATTCCTCTGTACCCTGTAAATTCACGCCATATCCCACCCTTCAAACCGAAACACAGCCATCCAAACACAACTGCTTCACGGTACATACACGAATGGGACAGAGGTACCCAAGCAATCAACTTTTGTACAAAGTCTCCCTCTGGTAGTGAGTCAAATAATTTTTATATCAGTAGTACAGTCAAATGATTATCTATTCCGAATCGATCAGTAATTATAACATGCATGACCTAGTTTTTTAAATGAAAAGTCGTAGCAGAGGATAATCTTTTGTTTTTTTTTTCATACTATTTATAGAGAATTAGTTGGACAATACAATTTTTATACAAGTAATATCAGAATCGTGCTTTTAATATACAAAATTTATTCTTTATGTACATTCACACAAATTTATATGAAACCAAGAATAAATATTTGTATTATTTTACTAATTATTTCTATCTGTTCTCTGGCGATAAGACCGCCTTTTGTACCTTTATATATGCATTTTAATCTGTACTTTATACTATTGTATTTCACTTGAATTTTCTAATTGTCATTGTATATTTTTATGTTTTTGATACAATAAAGAGTTAAATAAATAAATTGTACATTTTAATAATTCTTATCATAGACTAAAGAATTAAAATAACTAACAGAGTAGATAAAGTGTTAATTTTTTTTTCTCATTTAACGTGAACTAGCTTTTTGTCCGTTACCTCGTACGCGTGGATTTCAGAACTAGGAAAGATCAATGAAATAAATCACTTCTGGATGGGCGTATCAAGATGAAACCTACACCAAATATTAAGTTAGACCTTTGGAAACACAACTAGGGAAACTGCATCCAATTCGGTGCAGTAGTGATTGCGTGATGCTGGAACAAACATACAGATAGACAACATTTCTAAAAAACATTGTTTTAGTATATATTCGTCTTATTTTTTGTTATATGTATATATATATAAGTTATATATATATATATATATATATAAGTTATATATATATATAAGTTATATATATATATATATATATATATATATATATATATTCGTTTATATATGTAATTTTAGTATGTATGTATATCAATAAATAGTAGTACCGCATTCGAGTACTCTGACACTTCCCTATGGTTGACTGGGAGAGAATGCTTTTAGCATTAAATCCGCCATGTACACATATATGCACTAATGAATAAATAAATATGAACAGTATCATGGTCATGGTGTCCTAGTAATTTCACTACCATACCACCTACTTGCAATCGAAACACAGTTATGCAAACTGGTTGATAACAGAAACACAAGTGGGACAGAGAGCCTTGTAAGCGACTTTTGTGCAAAGCCTCAATTTGATAAAGTACAAATATCTATCTTTTTCTTGAGCATGAAGTGTTTTTTTTTTAACGGATGATAATGGAATGATATCCCTGATATATAATGCAATACGGTATACGCTGGCGGGGCGTCAGTGAGGGATGAGACTGACAGTCGGTATTACTAGGGGAAAGGGATTGTTAGTAATGGAGACTGAGAATCCCATTGCTAGCAATATATCCAACCAGGTCGACCTCCTCGCGGTTCCCCCTGGAAATTTAATTTAGGTTAATTCCTGATGAATTCATCATGATAGGCTAACTGGCCTGTTTTCATTCTCATCTATCACCCTTCACTGGTGCTCCGCCAGCGTATCCCGTTAGCGCAGGCGGAGTTACCATACCATTTTCACCCATCAAAAAAAAAGTCGGTATTACTAATGTTGTGTTTGCACGGCTGTGTTTCGGTTTGAAGAGTGAGATATGGCGTGAATTTACTGGGTACAGAGGAATAACACCTGAGTCCTCAGGAATGGCAACGCATGGGAGGTATCATGGGCGAAACGGTATACTCTGTTATGTTCATGATACTGCTCATGTCTATAGGCGACGGTTACCACTTTTCATCAGACGGGCTGTCAGTTTGTTTGCCATTCTAAGTTATATACCCCCCCCCCCCTCGCGCCCCTCTCTGAGCATGAAGTGTGTATACCAGTCGGATAGTGACGAGTCTTCTGAACACAGTTATTCACTTCCTTTATCATTTATTTTTATGTGACATCAATCGTTATTTGGATACACATGTATTTTCCTTATAAATTAGTACAAGATAATTAAAATAAAGCTCGATAAACAATTTGTGTATTCTACACATGTATTCCACGTGTCTCTTGTCATGTGATTCCATGAATTTGTTTATATTAATGTATTGTTTGCTATTGTTTCAGGTATGTGGATCTATCTACGTATATGTATGTTAAATACAACACGCCATGTTTTGGCATTATTTAAAGGCGAGAAACAGAATTTGGTGAAGTATTTATATTGCAATAAGTTCATTGATATAATAAAAATATAATAATAAAAATGACCATGGTATTTAAGACCAAAAACTGTAGCATAATTCAATATTTTTATAATAATAATACGATTATTTTATACGAATATTGAAAAATATTCCTTTGAAATAAACCTTTTACTTTACTCATTTGGTTTTTAGAGTTTTACATAATCGAAATACCTAAAACAGAAATATTTTAAATTAACTTTATCTAGCGGCGTCATCCGCTTGAATAGATACAGATAGAATACAATTTACCCGTGTATTAAATTTCATTTAAATCCGTTCAGCAATTTTTCCGTGAAAGAGAATCATCCATTCATTCATATATATATATATATATATATATATATATATATATATATATATATATATATATATATATATATATATATATGAATCAGCTATGCAGCTTTTTTATCTGGCCATATGTCATGCTAGATCATAGTATTATAAATTTTGCTCTTTGCTACTTGATTCTATGTTTAAAAGTAGCATCCGCAATTCGAAACGGCAAAAAGTGATGCAACCACTGAATAAATAATAGGCGAAACTGTAATAAATTTATAAATACACACATTGTTACTGGATATACGACATCAAAGCTGATAACATTCAATTTAATACTTTGTTTGTATTTGCTGGAAATCAAATAAATACGCTTTATGTATAAAAGTTTAATTTGTCGTATGTTTCATTCGTTGTGCAACATGAAGGCTAAACCAACAATGTTAATAATAAATATGAATCATAGATTATTAATATTGAATAAGTATAATCCATTTTAGTCGTGTGGTCCCGGCATAGAATAGGCCCTTTCCTTTCTCGTGGGTGTCGTAAGAGACTAAGGGAGCTTATGGTCGAGGGATAGACAGTAATGGTTCCTAAAAAATATCACCAAAAGCTAAACTGCGGTTGTCAACTCGCCTGCCAAGCGTGGCAACTACTGGCAAAACCTTCCTTATGAGGAGGCTGTTTTTAATTTGGCTTATAAAGGTTCAAAAAATATTACTTTCATAAAATATCAAAATAAAATATTAGTTTTCAAGATAGATTTAAAGAATGGCGACTCATATCCGACGCCATTGTCTATGCAGCAAACATATCTAAACTGAAACGTCGTCGTGTCAATGACTATGTTATCTTTGTCAGCCAAAAATTTTGCTTAGAGGACATATCGTGTCTGTATATATCCTGTCTGTAACTGAGTCAAACATTTCGAGTTAGCTACTGTAATTTTCAACCTACATCAAAAAGTTAAAATAAAAAAAAAAGATTCGATTGTTTTCTTTTTTTTTTTTTTGTTTGTTACCTCATAACTCTGGCAGTTCTAAAGCGATTTGGAAACATCTTTTTTTTATCTGAAAGAATGTACTTACAGATTGGTGCCATAGACATTTTATCAAAATCTATTGAGTAATTTTTAGACCAAAATAAAACTGGTTTTGTCACAATTGAAGCCGGTATTTTTTTTTTTTTGTAATGGGACACAATCTTTAATTATATATCGTCACTTCCTACACACAACAAATTATCTACAACGTTTAAAAAACATTAAAGTTGTATGATTCGAAACGCATTTCAAGTTACAGTCGATAAACAATTCGATTGAAAGTATCTTCTGAGAGGAAATGGCCGATCAATTTTATCATTTTCATCGCTTCTGACACTGAGTAAAAGCCGTTGTGTTTTTCAGTTGGTCAAATTACGTTATCCATCAACATGTATAATTACACCGTTTACAGCGAAGTGAAACATTTTGCGCAGTAATTTTTCAATTAAACACCGCAGACGTCTATTACTTACACGCAACGCTTATATTCTCAGCTGGTATCACTTTGTGGTGGGTCTCTTGAGCATTACATACATACGGGTAAATTATATTTATCAAGTATACGTAGTGTCATAGTGCCGTGTGGTCCAGACAATTAACTATTACATTTAGCCGGTAACACAGGCCTGTCGCGGAAAAAGGGATTGTTAATAATGGGGTCTGACTGCCCCATTGCTGGCAATATATCCTATCAGGTCGACCTCCACGCGGTTACCCCTGGAAACCGTCGTGGTTAATGATTGATGAATTCGTCATGATGGGCTAACTAACCTGTTTCATCCTCACTTATTCATTCACTGGTGCCTCGTCAGTGTGTACCGATAGCGCAGCCCCCCGCCTGCCATTTCATTGACATCCATTAAAAAAAAAACAAAGGCTTGTCCCATATAGGGGGTTGTGCCAGTAGTTGCCACGTTTGGTAGGCGTGTTGGCAACTGCAATTAGGCATTGGTGATGTTTTAAAAGAGACGCTATCACCCATCCTTCAACCCTTAAGTCGCCTTTTACGACACCTACGGGAAATAAAGGGCTGGTCTCATCTCGTCATAGTCGTAGAATACTGACGGATCTTTATATGTAATCTTTGTCAGATCCGTCAGTATTCTACGACTATGACGATCTATGCCAGAGCCATACGACAGTCTTTATTGTAAATAAAAAAAATGATGTATATATAGATAACCAAATACTTACACGCTGCAATCATAACGAGACCAAAACTGTACGTGGGAGTAAAATTACGTGTGATTGAAAAACCGAGATCATGAAATTAATCTCAAATTCCATTCGGACGGAATCGCGTGCAACAACCAGTTAATAATCTAGAGCCGAAAGGGCGGCATTGTTCAAGTCGAGGGTAATTGAAAATTAAACCCTTATCGACTCTTAAGACTCTTCGTCAATTCTATTGTTGTTCGAGTTGGTTTCCATGATTCATCTCCATTTGGTTTTGCAAGTATTGAGGCTTATGTGAACCTATTCTTATTTACTACTGATGTAAGTCTGTTCGTGAGAAACTGAGTAATTTCTTTCCACCTTAATGGACTCTAGACGAGATTTTGGCAGCTGTCATATTGTTTGTATGTTGTTCTCATACATTGTGGTTTGTAAAGTAAACATACAATGAAGATTCTCGCCCAAATTAATTTATATACTTAATTTTTTTCCATAATCAAATAGATAGACCGGGGGTGAAAGGGATTGTTAGTAATGGGGTCAAATAACCCCATTACTAGCAATATACCCTGTCAAGTCGGCCTCCACGTGGTACTTACTCCCTGGAAACCATTGTGGCTAATTCTAGTTGAATTTGTCAGGATGGGCTAACTGATCTGCTTCATCCTCACCTATCATCCTTCACTGGTGCCCCGCCGGTGTATACCGATAGCGCGGGTGGGGTTACTATTTCATTATCAGCCATAAAAAAATAGATAGACCGAAGTAAAGAATTAAAATGTTGTTTCACAAAAAAAATACTTCAATCGTGACAAAATCGGATATTTTGATTAAAAAACTAAAATACTGAAACCAACCGAGAAAATGTCTATGGAATCGGCCTGAAAGTAAGATAACAATAAAAGAATTTCCCAAATTGGTTCATAAATTACTAAGTTCTGAAGTAACAAACATAAAAAGAAATAGAACTCTTCTCTTTTAAAATCGGTTGACAAAAAGAAAAATACACTAGAAAGTTACTGCGTAGACCATAAAGTAGCCACAGTATGTTTTCCTAAACTAAGAGTATGACGTTTTCTGTAATAGCACTACAATTTATAATAGACATAAAACCTCAAGTTTTTTTTTTTATACAACTTAGAATGGCAAACAAGCTGACGGCCCACCTGATGCAAAGTGGTAACCGTCGCCTATAGACATGAGCAGTACCATGGACATAACAGAGTATACTGTTTCGCCCATGATACCCCCCATGCGTTGCTATTCCTGAGGATTCGGATTATTCCTCTGTACCCTGTAAATTCACGCCATATCTAAATTTGGATTGATAGTAAACATATCTTAGATTGTATTGTTTTTGAAATAGTTTCCAAACTTGAAACAAGCTATTACTGTTATATATTATCAACCACAGAACAAACCATCAAATAATGCTATTCTTACATTCGTTTGTGATTTGAATCAGGTTTTTTTTATCTATATATAATTTAATCTTTACGATGTTCTCTATTCGTTAATCACCAAAACATATAATTGCATATATACGCTTTAATATGTCTCTAAAATTGTATACTATACAAACATGAAGGTCTAATAATTATAGGTCTCACAGAGCATCCATATAGATCAGTGGCTCTCGAAGACGTTGACTGCTCGTTATCAAAACGTCTGCTAAATATAAGTATACGATAAAATCGCCTCCGAATCAGCCTTGAGGTATCTTGGGCCGAATACGTCTTACATTATTTACGTAAGAGACAATGACCTCGCCGTCAATACTCCACGATGCTTTATTTACGTGCGGTCGTCGCACTCTTGATGCTACCAGCATTCCTTGGCCTTGCAAATTGCTTTTTTCTTCAGTGTTTGTGTACATTTGATGTCCATTTGTTTTGAAAAAAAAAAAAAACGATGTGTTTTGTAAGAATAATATTAAGGTTCAATGATACTGGTCGCTTCGCCATTGCCTTGGCGTTGCAAATTGCTTTTTCCATCGGTGTTTGCACACATTTGATGTTTACCTGGATTGAAAAATTATGTTTTTGTATGAATAGCTAGGTGATACAATGGACATCGTTCTGTTCAAAGCTATTACATAGATTGTGGTAGTCCGTCTACGAAGTGTTTGAATGGGTAACTAGGAATATAATTGTTGTATGGAAACAATAAAGTTTTTTCGAGGAATTTTTCCAATTTTTTCTACATAAGAGCCTTCCTCAGTCTTCAAAGCATTTTAAAAAAAAACTAAACTAGTCCAGCTGTTCTCGAGTTTTATGCTTAACAACCTATTTAGCTAGTCATTTTTATGAACATATATGAATAGATTAAGGTTGTATGGTACTAATGTCATCAGTATTCCTCGGCCTTACAAATTGCTTCTTAGCAAAAGCATGCGGCTTACCTGATGAAGTGACTACGGCCGCCCATGATCGCCTGCAACACCAGAAGCATTGCAGGTGTACTCTCAGCTTTTATATTTGATGTTAAAATAA